TTGCAAGTTGCTCCATAGCATTCATTGTGACAGTTATTCTCCTTTAGATGATACAAGCAGATCTCTAAGTCATGGTCGGTTATCTTAACACGTACAGTGTGAAACGCAATTTATAGAAACTCCTGGTTCAGACATAAACACTAAGGTTAGTGAGTCTGCCTAAGAGCTACTAGCTTCATGTTATGTATCCACTTCACAGGGTCGGCTTTCCATTATTTTATTATCACTGTGGCACTAGTCTGATTCTGCCCCGGCGATCTCAGGTGGGATCCTTTCTATGGATTCTGTGGAGGAGCTTTGGGATTGTTGGGACTCTGAGGCTTGAGTGCTGTCCACGCCGGACTGCATCAGCGGTAAGTAGATGTCATCCATGTTTGGCAGTACTAAAACTTTCTGAAGAAGAAAAGCAGGAGTGAGCTAGGAAAACGCATCAGAAACATTTGATGGCAGCACAGAATTCGAATGATTTTTGACTACCTGGAACTCGTCCTGCAGTTTCCTTTCAATCCACTCAGTCACATGGCAGAAAGTCACCTCCCTTTCCCCCAGTTTAGGACGGACATGCAGATCCAGCTTTGGTGGTACACAGAAACTGTACCTGCGGATGACATTCAAATATTCAAATGCATCAAGATGATAACAAGTATGAGAATGTTTCAGGTCTATTTCGATCTCACATTGTTGGAGCGCTTCAAAACAGCCTCAGTGCTCGAACAGATTTATCAGGCGAATAAATAAATGTTCCTTTGGCAAGCAGTGAAAAGTGAGTCACTCCACAGAGAGTCAGAAACACATCACACAGCTGATTTGTTTTTGAGAATTTACTAAGTGCACTTATGGCATGCAGCATAACCACGTCTTTTAAATCTCACAGTGTTTTTTTCCTTGAATATATGTAAACTTATACTGTGTTATATCTTAAGAAAATCAATTAATCAGGACGTCCTGGAGTAAAATCAGATTTTTTGTTCATGTTCTCCATATGTTTTTCTCCGTATTTTATGTTTTTCTTAACTTTTGCCTTAGTCCCAATCTAAAGTTTATCAATCTTAAGCTCAACTTGTTTGTCACCTCTTCATTCTGTCAATTTTTAAAGATGCAAAATATAGAAAATCTTACTCCAGAAGGTGTCACCATTTTTTTTAAAGACAAACCCAAGTAGCGATTGGTGGCACTTCCATTAGCTTTATTTTTTTTTAGATCAAAAAAGGGTTAACAGTCACTGGTCATTTTATTACACCTTAAACTGCCTTGCTTCTTCATGACACACAGATTCAGCAAGGTGTTGGAAACGTTTCTCTGATATTTGTATCTATTTTGACACGATAGCATCACATAGTTAATGCAGATTTGCCAAAGTTGCTTTGTGACGTGGACGCAATCGCCAGAAGACGACTACACTGTGGTCACAAAGCGATGGACATGAACAGCAACAATGTTTTGTCATTTAAACAATGCTCACTTGATACTAAGGAGCCCAAAATGTGCCAAATAATCTCCGCCTCAGTATTACACCAGCAGCAGCACCTGAACTGTTGATATAAGGCAGGATGGATCCATGCTATGATGCTGTTTACACAAAGTTTTCACTCTACCATCTAAATGTTGCAGCAGAAATCAGGACACATCACACCTGGCTGTGTTTTCCAGTTTTCTGTTGTCCAATTTTGGTGAGCTGGTGTGAAGATCAAGGTATAATAAATGAAGTGACCAGTGAGTGTAATTACGCCTTTGATGCCGTTTCATGTTCGCTTGATTCTTTGTTAAAATTTGGATGCTTTAAACTGTTTTCAAACTATTAATCACAACACATGCATACGCAATTGTATGTTTTTTGCTATTTAAACACTTGCACTCATAATGGTCCAAAGCCTCCAAAGCCCTATCAGCACATACATGTTTATCTGAATTGCTCAATCCTCTTTAATCTTTAATGTGGTTATTGAATAAGCTATAGCGACTGATCTTCTTACTGGGCCTGAACACTTTGATCCAACATGGTTTTGAAGGGCTTCTGAATTAGTCTACATGTTTATATGCAGAAAGAAATAATCTGGATCAACACTGAAGGGCTGCTTGTGCCTCGTTCCAGCTCTAAGGCAGCGGCGTGTCTTTTCGTACCATATCCTGTCTGTAGGGGGCGGCGGGATGTTGACAACCAGAGTCCCTGACAATTCTTGAACCTCGACAGTGAGCAGCAGGGGCGTGTTGGACATCTCCTCGAACTTCTTCTTAATGAACTCGTTCTCTGTCGCCTTCTGGAAGTACTTGGATTTGGCGATTTTGTCCACAAATCTCAAAATCTTCCTTCCAGTCTTGCCACCCCCTGTCCTGTTAGAGAGGATTAGAGGAGACGAAACGACAGCGCTTGTGTGATCCTACGAGTCAGAATTTTGAGGAGACGAGAGCCTCGAAATGTAAATGAGAGCAGCAGCCATCTGGGGTGTGATGTCAGCACGGTTTAAAAAAAGAGCATTTGCAAAATAGCAGGGTGGAAGTAACACTTTCTTTCACACTTCTTACTGAAACGTTCCTTTTAGAAGCCGTTATTGCTGATCATTCCACAAAAGTAATATAATGTCATTGCTGCAACTTTTTTTTTAGCTCTTACTAAGCATGATGCAAAAGTAGGATATATTTTCCATGAATGGATGACATGAATCATTCAAAATTTACCCTTCTGTAGCTTGTGGGCATCCCTTCTCCCCCACCGGACCCTGAGGCTCAGAGAGAAGCGGCTCCTCCTCGTCAGATGAACCAGCGCTGGAGGACTCCTCATCACTGTCGGCCAACACACTGAGGATCGGCCTGCAGCTGGGAGGATAAACAGGCAGGCAAGTTAGGTACTGACACAGGCATAATACAAGTATTCAAAAAACATTTCTGAGGCAATTCAGT